CTGGGCCTACCGGCAGCAGGAGTTTGAGGTAATTTGCCTGGTCGGTGGAAGTTGTGGGGATACAAACTGGGGTGATCCTATAGTGCCCGGTGTGCTGAGTGACTCTGTATGTATATTTGTATAAAAGCATGCCGGCTGAGCCACATCCAGCTTGATGGCACCTCGTTTGGGCTGAAAGCATGAGCACCCTACGGGCAGTCGCGGTGGCCTGGTGAGGAGCCATCCTGCTGGCTGAGTTGCGTCAGGCCACGATGGGTAACTGTGTTCTGGCAGGCTGCCCCAGCCAGATGCCATCTGTCCAAGAGTCAGCACGAAGTCTCTGTGAACTGGCCAGAAATGTTGCTCTGCACCCACATCTGATCCGGATCAGGCTTGCACATCCGAGTGGTTCAGTAGTGAGCAGAGGTGCTGTTTGTGGCCATGGAAGTCATGATCAGCCAGAGTTAAGCATGTGGCTTTTTCTGCTCCTGAGGATAATACCACGTCCCATAAAGGTTGTCAGATCGCTGGCACCCGCCTCGCTGCTGCTCACCTTTCTCAGAGGCCCCCCCTGCTGTCAGGTGAAAGCTGACTGTAGTTGTCAGTCTCCTGACATTCGGCTTTATGAGCTTCATCATAAGCCCTACCTCTATGCTGCCTCCCCTCTCTCTGGATGGCTGGTTATGCCTTTGGGGTGCATTTATGTTCCCCATTTCAGTTCCTATGTGTTGTAGCCCTTACACCCTGCTCTCACTGCCTACTTCCTGAGCTGCGTTCCTGATTATCGACTCTGTCCTGCCTCTACAGACCTAGTTGCAGGATCCAGTCTTTTGTTGACTTGTTTCCGTGTTGAAATCAGCTGCTTCTGCCTTTGTTTCAACTGTAATGGCATCTTTTCCAGGCTATGGGTTTGTGTTACAGGCTCCCTGATTTAAAAGCCCTCAGGCCGACTTCTGACTCCACTCCTTTCTCCATGCCCATTGGATTCGTGTCTTTTTGTACCTCAGTTGGCACTGACTTCTGCTTGTCAGTGTTATTCCAGCACTGCTGCTGCCTTGTCTATACCTGATATCTGTTCCAGTCTCGGATGAAATGCCCTGAAGGGATTCATAAAAATGTGCTGAGAAGAGAGATGCCTCAGGCTGCAGTCAGACATGGCTGCTGACCCTCAGGAAGAGCAGACTGCTCCTTGCTGTGTGCTGTGGTGCCCTCTTGGGAGAGGATGACTCCCCCTCAGATCTGCTAGTGGAACAGACCATTGCTTCCTAAACCTTTTCTGTCACAGTAATGCATGTTAAAAACATCTAGTCTTCAGTCTTACTGCTAACCTGGATCACTGTGACAGAACCAGAACTAGACTGCACACAACATTACATTTACACAAGTGGCTGCTGCACTCACTGGGCAGAGAGGAGCTCCCTCATTTGCTTGAGAAGGAATGCGAACTTAACACCAGGGAAGAAAAATATTTCAGTCGTTCTGCTGAGAGTATTTAGGGTATGTCACCTGGATGCTCTTTGTGTTAGAACCATTCAGTTTTGCAAGGAATAATTAAATATTCATTTTGAGAGATGAAAGAATGAACACTGTTCTTTAGTCTTCTGGTCTGAGCACTCACATGGAGAGGGAGGAACCAAGATTCCAGTCTTAGCTTCACTGAATACTTAATGTATTTAAATGTTAATTGGAGTCCTGGTGAGTGCCCTGAGCATTAAGCTACAGAAATGTTGCTCATTCTTGTCTTTTTCCTTAGCCCAATTAATATTTAATTATTTCATGTAAATTAGAACCACCCTACAGGATCGATGAAGATTTACCTTCCCTGCAGTATTCTCCGACTTGCTGATTATTCATGGGAGGTGAAGTACTGCAGGTTCAAACCTTCCTGTGGAGAATGTCATGGATTTGAAACAAAGTGCCCCAAATTTAGGATGAGTGCTCAGATCATCGAGTTTGTAGCTGGCAGAAAGATGCCATGTGTCACGTATTGCCCAGGTTGGTAGGTGGTCGCTTCTGGATCAGGCCTGGTGGGGAGAGAGGTGGACAGATGTGTGGTGAATCCTGCCAAGGCTTAAACATGAGTTAGAGTTGAGGTTGCTCATCACTGTCTAGACTTGGCTGTGTAGTACCAGGGTGCTCGTGTGTGGCTGGCATAGGTGGTGGCTGAGTCCAGAGAAAGGAAAATGTGGACTTCAGCTCCTGAATTCCCTTTGTGAATGTAGTCATAAACAAAACATACGTCAGGCTTACCTTTAAATGAAAATCTCACTGTTTTGTTTGGCTTTTCTTTTTGTCAACACTACTAGAAAGCCCTATATGAATACTCAAACTGTTTACTACTCTTACCTCCTGGTAACATTGCAATGAGAAGAGATGTCCAAGAGGGCCAGGCTCGGTGTTTGTCTCGCCTAGGAAGGCACAAGGAGGCTCTGGATATTGCAGAAAGAATGGTAAATAATGCAATCTTTCTTTTAGGCTTTGAACATGAAAATATTGCCAGTAGTTCTTTTATATGGACCATTTTCTGAAAAAATAATCTCCATGTGTATAATCCTTCAGGATGTTCAGTGCTCAGAGTATTTGGTAAACAGGGGGTAACTGTCACTGCAGATATAATCACTCTTTAGAAATCAGAACACCCTGTACCACAATGAGCTCCCTGTGCAGGGAGGCTGGTAGTCCTGGAAGGGACTAAATATCATGCTCTGCCAGGCAGAATTAATGTAATGTAATAGGAATTATAAGAAAGGGGATAAATGAGTGCTTAAATCTTTCCACTGTAAAAGTGATGGTTCAGAACTCCCTTTTATTTCCATGTACTCGCTGCCAAACTGCCACCAAGAAGAGTATCTAACCACAAATGGAGTTTTTCCCATAAAGGAAAAAGTCCAGAGGCTCTGAAGTCTGATACAATTTTACTCCTGTTTATTTTATATAAAAGGTGTTTATACTACAAAAAAGGGCAACTGGATAAAATTCCAAAGGCAAATAAATGACAGCATTTGGGGCCTTCTTGCCTTTCAGACTGGGACAAGGCAGCTAGAGGGAGTGCTGTCAGCTTGATTGTGCATGATCTGTACCATGTTGTATCATTTAAAATTAAGAGCAGAGTTTTGTACAATTTAAAAATTACCTTTAGGGATATTTCTGTGTCATTATTCAGGGAGACGTTTTCTTAGGCTCTGAAGGTTGATTCTGTTCTACTCCAGTTTTTAATCTATTATCTTTTGTTTCTAGAGAAACGGCGCTACTAACACAGATCACTTAACAACAGTTCTCAGCCTGCAGTTTGCCATTTACCAGGGTCTGGAAAATGTAGGAAAAAAGATCACGTGTCTGCAGCAACTGATCTGCTTACATCCTTTCAACCCTTGCTACTGGAAGTTACTTGCTGAAGCTTATATGAGCCTTATACAGAGTTTGTCGCCATTAATCACTCCAGAAACAAATCTAAATCAGTCTGAAGAGGTTAGTGTAAATGATAGTAGTTTCAAAACATCAACTGAAAGCGAGATTAATTTGCAGCCTCACAGATCAGGCAGCCAGAGAGAAGGCCCTGGGTCCACCCTTGCTACAGAAACAAGGAGGAAGAATGCAGTGACTTGTAGCAGCAGCCGAGCTGTAAAAGAATTCCTCTGCACTTCAGAAGAACTGGAAAGGATGGATGAAGGGAAACGCGCAGCCTCTGAGTCCTGGGAGCAGAACACGTTGAAGAAAGTTGGGGTAAAGGCGTGTGCCTCGTTTATTAGAGCAAGGTAACGAAACATATTCTTAGAATAATGTTAACTTCTCCCAGTCGAGAACAATTTAAAGCATATTTTTCCCAGCCTTAATATTTTCAGTTTAAATTTTCAGTTTAAATGTTTGTTTCAGCATTGGCAATGCTAATTTAGAAGCACCCTGCTATTGCTTCAGATCTAAAAAGCAAAATCCACTAGCATCGTAGATGTGAACAACCTAAATCTGAATGGAAAGAGTAAACCAGTGTCCTGCACTATTGCGAAGTAAACGGGTTTTTAATGACCTTGTTGCATGAATCTTTTCAAGTAATTATATACAAAAGGGTTTGTTCTTCAACAAATGCTTCTGTTAGAGCATGACTGTTTCCTGGTTTGGTATTAAAGTTGCAGCAGCAGAAGTGCCCCAAAGGGAAGGCCAGCCAGTCTTCCTTCTGCGAGTGCCACCTGTCTTGTTTGCTTGAAGCCTCATGCTTGAGCGAACATGTATTTTATAATAATACCCCAATCTGCATAATGGATGAGGTTGAAAAATGAACTCTGTGACAGCTGATTGGCAGGGCTGCATTAAAATGCTTTTTCCTTTTCTTCCCTCTCTTCTGAAAACTCTTGCACACAACAAAAAAAAACATAATCTTAATCTTTCAAAGAGATAATTAGGAATTGGCTTTGTTAAAATAGTCTTGGATTTTTTTCCCCCTCTTGTCTCTCCGTAATGTGTTAGTCACCGAATGTATTTAAAGCCATTTTATGAACTTCTAAAAATGTTTACAGAGAACACTTTATAACTGCCCTATTAGGGCAAGATTTAAGAAATGTAAAAAAAGGTACAGTAGCTTTTAACTGTACTCGGACTAAGACACGGTGACTTCCAATGGCTGCTTGGGAGAAGTTAATAGATTTAGTACTGATACTGAATATTAAAGCTACATTCATATTAAAATAATCTGTGTTGCTTGTTTCAGTGTGTATGGACAATTATAAATTGGAGGATTTTCTTGCTTGATTGCACAGTTTCACAAAGTGTTACTGTGGTTTATATTTGCAGATACACTTGTCCAGGGTAAGCTTTTCCCCTGCCAGGGCTTATGCATTAAATAGGTTGTCTAATATTTTTAGGTTTGTTGGGTTTTAAGTGAAATGTGGATGTTGCATAAACACCTGTGCAGGGTAAATTGCACCTGGAAAAGGGATGTTAGTATTGCTTTTTGTAGGAAATAAGGTTCTGTGTTAAAGCATCATGAATAATTGACTCGTCTAGTTTTGTCAACAAAAAAAAATTGGAGAAATGATTTTGTTGAATTTTCATGCTTTCTTACATTATGTTGATGCAAATTGTGAAGCAAAAATACTTTACAAATTAAAAATACTTTCCATTTTTACTTTGAATTTCCCAGTCAAAACTTCACTGAATTTACAAATGGTTTGTTGGCTCAGACTTGCAAATTTTGATGTTTATAATGCCCAAATGAAAACTTTCATCTAAGATCTTAAGCTTTCTCTTCATAAAAATACACACCTTTACTATAACGCCGGCTTCATTTAACTTTGGTAAATGCGATAAAAAAATTGTTGTTCTTTATACATAAAGCTTGAATTAAACATAGTTTCAGTAGTGGTACTGCTAAGTGCCAGGGTTCCTTGGTAGAATATACTTAGATATTTCCTCTGCTGACATGTTTCACAGTCTTTATGTGAGGAGGACTCTGGTAACTGCTACTGCGCTCTCTGGTCAAGCAGTTGGTGATAGGATCCCTCTGTGACGTGAAGCCACGTTGTGAGCACAACGTCTAATCTTCACCAAACTATGGTGGTGACTTCCGGGGCACTGCCTTGAACATAAAACTGTGATGAAAGATTTTAGAAAATATTCAAGGGTTGGCCTGTGTGGTGAGGATGTTTGATATTTGTCTAAACCCCCCAAATTTCTAGCTTTTCAGGTTACAAAGGTAATCGCTGCCATAGGCAAAAATGCTCTGCTGTCTTGCTAGGCCTTAATAAGGATGTGGGACACCTAATGCACTGCAGTTAATGGTAGCAGATCCGAGCTTCACTTTGTGAATTGTGTGACGAATACATGGGGAGAAAAATGTTTGCACAGAGCAACTAGAGATACTTGGCATATTGTTTTTCTGTCACAGCATGGATATACCATACCCATAGTAGAATGATACGGATGTATTGATTTCTTTGCAGTTTTTGCAGTTGGCCCAAGTCAGGAAGAAGAGCTGGTTTTAAAGTATTGTATTTTGTTTGGTTTTAGGTACTTGTTTGCCAGCTGTGCCTTTTTTTTAAATGCCTTTATAATTTCAGGCTTTTACTTCAACTTACCCAGTTGCAACAATCATCCTTTGCACTAGAGAATAACATAAAAGGTCAAAAAGAAATTGATGACAAGGTGGCACAACTTGGTTTCCATGAAAACTCCTTGCTGTTGATGACCAAGGTAAGGGGATCTTTCATAGTATGCAAGTTCTCAGCTATACGTAGGCTGGTTGGGGTACCAGTTCCGGCAGAAAATCCTGCGAGCTGACGCTCCCCTGAGCTAATTAACTGTGCCAGAAAGCAAGGTCAATTAGCTGGGGCGGGTTGCCCTGGTAGTGTGTTATCTGGAACTGACAGTGATACCTATATAGTGCTGGCTTGTGTCATGCAGGCGTATCTCTGTTCTGCTGAGACTCTACTTTTCGGAATGTTCAGGGTTGTTAAGTTTCTCATCAGACTTGTATTTGCAGATTGCATCATTGCTGTGTGTTGCAGCACAGGGGTGCAGATTTTCTCTTAGGAATTTCAGATGCCACAAAGTGAATCACAAGTATGAACTGGAAGTGGAGGTTACTTTGATGGCCACAGTAGTATTAAACACTTCCAGAAAAAGCATTAAACATTTTCAGAAAACTCCAGAGACATCCTTTTACATGACTTCTTCATCCTGTTTGAAGTACTGGGTTCTAGTTTTAAAGAAATACAAAGGAGGAGAGTAACATTGCATGACTTTATTCCTAGAGAGTAAACATTTTTAGTGCTATTTATAGAGATTCCGACTTTTATCCTAAGGAACAAAAGGAAGCCAGCAAGTTTCTAACTTTGCTGTCAGTATTAACAGCTTTAAGTTAGTAAAAGCCAAGCCATTGCTGGCTTGGCAGGCAGTCTTGTGGGATTTCATCCATAAGAGGGCAGTAGTATGCAGACTATCTCAGATTTTGAAAAGGTTGGGAAAAGAAAATTCTCTCCTTGCTTCCTTTGGTCCGACACTCCCCAGGAAGAGATCAGAGCGTTGGTGCTGCTGCAAGGTTAGCATTGGATGCAGAGTTGGCATTGAGATTTCCGCTGCTACTCAGAGACTAAAAATCCCCATGTACAAGCGTAGCTGGAAGCTGGGCGGGGTTGTGCAGCTGTGAAGCTTGGGCGCTCAGTTCTCTGTGTTTATTGCAGAGTGCAATGGCAGGCAACTTGATCTTCACTTGGAAACTTCTCCTGGATGGTGTGTGGTTCACATGTCAAGGGCTTTTCTTGTAAAGATCTGTTATTAGTGTTATATTTGCTGTTTTCTCCGCAAGTTATTTTCTTGTATCCCATCTTTTTTACTCTGTTTGCAGGTTATGGGGCAGGATCTTATACCAGAAAAACTAAAAGAGGAATTTCAAGGTGAGGTAAAATGCATAGGCCCTTCAGCGCTGTCATCATTGGTAACTGCATCAGCCACAGAATTTGAAATCAAATGGTTTGGTAATCTCCAAGATGAATTATGTCACTTTGACAGACAATTCTATTCAGATATGTATCTCCCACCTTCTGCAACTTAAAGGTTTTATTGTATTTATTCTCATATCTCCAAATGATTATGGAATGATATATGCAATAAAGCTCATATTACATTTTTAAAGGATTCTTATTGTATATCTTTTAAGAATACATATAAATCTCTGCATTTAAACTCTTAACATCTCACAGTTTTCTTTGTTCACTGATTTGTTTGTATTTAAAATAAGAAGGGATCCAGTATAAAATCGAGCTTTCATTTCAGTTTTCAGAGGTAGCTTTCCATCATAAACCTCGCTGTGCTGTGCTTGAAGTCCCTGTGATTTTTTCAGGCCTGCAGGGCTGGTGGGATGGAAGTCTTCTGTTATTATGTCCAGTTTGAAAGTTTCTTGGTATGAAATTCTATGTTGTTGCATCTAGAGCCATGGAATTAGCTGCTTTAGCTATAAATCTTATTACATATTTATGCTGAGAAACTGTGAACAAGAATAATTCCATATCTTTTAGAAAAAAAAAATCTAAATGGTAAATATTTAACTTAGAACTGGAAGGATATTTTCTTTGTTCGAAGTTAAGTGGTTTTTGCAGGCATAGAACTAGCTGTCGTCTTCAGTGTGCTTAGACGAGGGAGGAGAAAAACTGTCAAGGTTGTTTATATGTACTGAAGAGTGTTTAGTCAGATCATATCCTTTGTAAAACCCTGCAAGGAAGAAGATCTTTGCGGTAAAAACTGGCAGTATTGTTTCCGCATCATACAGCTCCTTATGTTATGCTTTCAGCTGATAATGACACCACTTTGCTTTACTTTCTGAAGCGTAGATGGTGTGTGCTTTGGGCTTCCACAGAAAAAGGCAGAGATTATCCTGTAGTTTCTTTTGCTTGAAGTAATTTACATTTGAGGCAAACAAGGTGTTCTCTTCCCCCATCTTCTCTTAAACTGAGAGTGTTAAATTCTTTGTAGCTTTTTGTAAAAGTGTTCTTTCATGGATATAGTTTAAAACCAGGAATCTCCAAGACATACTTTGCTGTGACTTTTCTTCATGTTTTCCCATGTTTTCTTCCTGAAGTACTAAAGACTTCTGAAACAAAATAACTCTCAATTGAATGGTAATTCACCATATGTGGACACACTTTGTATCTGCTACTTTCAGGTGAATTTTAAAGCTTTAAGATACTGGTTAGGGAACCTGTCACTAACCCTTCATATGGTATAGCCCTCTGCTAAGTTGACTGTGAAACCTCTCCAGAAAAATGCAACATTGCCTTTAACCATGTCAAATTATCTTAATGCGATTAAACCACATCCTGGTCAGCTTGTTATGAAAGATGATGACTTGGCAAGTATACTTGGGTAAGCATTAATGCACTCATAATGTATCAGAGGATATTTGGTTTACTCATGCGCGTGCTTTGCTAGGTGAAAATTTTTGTGTGCGTGTGTAAAGCACTATATTCGGATCGCAGTGAAGCCCCCTTGAAGGGCTGGGGTTGCTTTTAAGACCAACTGGTGTCATAAGTTTTCAGTAGAGACTGTCCATAACGTGCTGTAAATTAATTATGATGTTGGCATCAACAGTTGAATGTCTTACAGCAAAGATGGAGCAAACATGGAGAGCTTGATGCCAAATATGTCAGAAAAAAACTGGAACAGGGACTTCTCCCAGTTTCTACTTAAACTTACAGTCATGAGTAGCCACTTACAAAGGCTATAATTTGTTTTGCCACAGCTCTGAAGTAGGTTCAGTAGTTAGGACACCAGAACACAGCTTTTGTGGAACCAGGTCTGTGTAGATATTTCATGGGAACTCACCAGATGATTTGGCTTTGCAGTTTAGAAGGTGGAAGTAGCTTTGGAGCTGTTTTAGCAGCAAATTCAATACTTGCCATATGTTGTCATTTTGTGACTGAGATGTCCAAAATGCACAGCAGCTAGCCAAGGTGATTTGGAGACTTTTTGGTGTGCATGCAGATTGTTTGACTTGAGGTTGTATCTTAAACTGGCAACACGACAGTTAACTCCCCACTTGCTTCCGGAGTGGAAGGCAAGTGGCAATTCTTAAGAACAGGCAGTATTTTCTTAAACATAACAATGAAGCAAAACTGTTGGTTTTAACTACTGCAAAGAAAAAACATGAATGTTGTTCTGAACATGTTGCTTAGTTACTATTCCAAATAACCAGTGTTGATTGCACTGAGGCTATGAAATATTCCGTTGTCCCACTTGTGCCTGGCTATCTCTCACCTCAGCTACTTCAATTCCTCCTTTTTTGGCCTGCTCCTCACTTTTTTGGCATGCGATTTCTAACTCCAGTTTTCTGTTTCTGATCATGTCACAAGGGGCTTTGCATTTCCATCTTGCATTTGAATGCTTCATTGTTGCTTCTACGTTCTGCGTAATTCTACATCTGCCTGTAATAGATTTCTTCACATTTTGGCTCTTATGATATTACTATTGGTATTAGTACGTGCACCAGTACTCCACGCTGAATTAAATAGCAAATTTTAGTATTGCAAACTGCAAGTGAGAATCAGTTAACAGTTTTCTTCAAACTGAGGTTTGATTTTTGTTATTTTAACAATTGCTTATGTTACAGACACTTTGGGAAGGACCCTCTGATGCTGGTTATGATGCTTCTGAAATGTTTGTGTACAAACGCAATTTGATTGTGTGTCTCCCTGTTGAGTGTTTGAATGCCGCTGACTTTGAGGTGAATGAATGTGTTAGAGCTGTAACTAGTGACATTAACACAGTTTTCTTCATCAGAGAGTCACAGAATGGTTTGGGTTGGAAGGGACCTTCAAAGACCCTCTAGTCCAAACCCCTTGCCATGGGCAGGGATACCTTCCACTAGACCAGGTTGCTCAAAGCCCCAGCCAACCTGACCTTGAACACTGCCAATGATGGGGCATCCACAGCTTCTCTGGGCAACCTGTTCCAGTGTTTCACCACCTTCATCATAAAAAAATTTCTTCCTTGTGTCCAATCTAAATCTACCCTCTTTTGGTTCAAAAGCGTTGCCACTTTTCCCGTCACTGTGTGTTGGGTTGACCTTGGCTGGCTGCCAGGTGCCCACCCAGCTGTTCTGTCATTCCCCCTCCTCAGCACCACAGGGGAGGAGAAAATAAGATGGGAAGGAAAAAAAACCTTGTGGGTAGAGATAAAGGCAGTTTAATAAAGAAAAATCAAAGGCTGCACGTGGAAGCAGAGGAAAAAAAAAATTTCGTCAGCTGGCATCGTCAGCAGGTGATATCAATGTAAAAATGCATATGTGAATAGTCTCAAGATTGCTTATAAGGAATCAAGAGTTATAACATGGGGTCCTACTCATGCTCCTAGCCAAGAGCCACCTTTGTTGCTGGCAATAAAATAGGGGTTTCAGGTAGTGCATAATTCTGCTGCCCTCTTTCCGGTACCCACACACAAACGAGAAGAAAAGAAAAATGCAAGCAAATCCATTTTGGTAACAGTGGGGTGACCCACGTGGGACTATGGGTTTCTGACCTGTTGAGCGTGGCGACGGCATATGGTGCAGCCGGTACTGGGTGGGTTCACCTGGTTGTCCTTGCGGGAAGGTACTAAAACCAGGGGCTGCATCAGCCATGGGGGGTTCAATAGGTAAGGTAGGGTAAGGTAAAATGGGGTTTGCTGCTGGCAGAGATTCTGAGAAACTGGAAGAAAATGGATGGTACTACAGAACTCAGTAAAGCTTGAGCTGCAGTTTTCTTTTGGGTGAGTGGCTAGCTGGAACTCGGGAGGGGACACCCTCCGAGCACTGGCCACTGGGAGGTTCATTTGATAGGAGTAAGCTGACCTTCCTGCCTCACGTATGATATGGGATAAGGCAGAATTTACCTCATATGTCAGTCCCTGCTGATCACTCCCCATCACCTTCTTGTTCTTCACAGGATGAGTTGGAAGTTTTTTCCAGGATCTGTTGCTCCATCACCTCCCCAGAGGTGGAGGTGGAACTGGCAGGCCTAGTGAGGGTCATGGAAGGGAGTATGGTGTGCAATGGTCCAGGAAGGAGGAAAGCGTGGGTGCTCTTTATTTTTGAAGAAGAGTAACAGCAGACCAGGGCACACGCTCTTCTTTTTTTTTTTTTTTTTTTTTTTAAAAAAAAAAAAAAACCACCGAGGAAAA